TTGGTTTTTTAGTTAGGAGTGTTGAACACTTACTTTGTTAGTGTACTTAATAAAAAAGTTCATTAATTTTTTAGAACATACAAACCAGATCATTTTTTATAGTTTTGACTGCCTAATGTTATTGCTCTTCAGGGTGAATACTATCGCTTATTAGCAAAGAAAATCTATGAGATACAAAAACAACAAGAAGAAAAACGGAGGTTGCGTTTTGGCATCTTGGGGAACCAGCCAGCCTTACCAGCCCCCAGGGCGCAGCCTCCTGGGATACACCACAGTCACAACCTGTGAGACCTCCAGGTAAGGACTTCATTTCCTTCTATCAGCCCTTCATCTGTTTGCTTGTTTTTCCTTCTGTATTTGGGGTGTGTTTCTAAGTATATAGAATTATGTTCTCAGGAAGCCCACATTTTGGAGACTGATAGTGGTCATGACCTTGTACATTGGCCTGTGTTTAGACATTGAGTCTCTCGTGGAGAGGTCCTTTAAAGGGTTTGCAAGCATCGAATGTCCAGTGCTTTGGGACCTGTTGACTGGTTTTTTCTTTAAGTTTGAAGTACTCCAGATAAATTCCTTATTCCTCAATCAAGGATTATTTTAAATAACTTTTTTTCCCCTGCCATTATAGATGGGCCCCTGCCCCTGCCAGTGAATCGCATGCAGGTTTCTATTGCTGTGAATCAGATTTCTGTTTACCATTCAACAGCCACAAAGTGCACTGTTTCTTTTTTCCTCTTTTCCTCTATTTCTTTATAGCGCTTCTTTTTCCTTACATTCCTTATTGTTGATGAGCAGAATTCATTTCCACAGGCAGTATGAATATCAGTTGTATTTGGATTCAAGAGAGGTCATTACTTTTAGGAAGAGTCTCACAAAACATTGTAGGTGGGGGAAGGAAACGTTTCTGAATGTGTGAAAGGAGAGCATCAGGCCAGTCCCAGGGCAGCGAGCGAGCAGCACGGGAGGTGAGGTGGAGAAAGTGCAGTGGCTGCTGTGGGCCCTGTGAGTGCAGGTGGTCAAGCCTAGCCAGCAGGATTTACACTCAGAGAATCTGCATCAGGCTGGGGTGCTGGCAGCTGGTCTCAACAACTTTTAAAGGTTCTTTGTCAGGTTGAAATTCACTAGTTTTTGCTTGGTTGAAGCCATCATCTTAGTTTGGGAGTTTGGAGATGAGGGACATTTCAAACCTTTTACTAATTGAGACTTGAACAGTAAGGTGTTTTTACAGGTTGTGAAATAAGGTGGTGACATTACCCAAGATTCTAAAGCAAGGCTTGGCTCTGCTGTTAGTAAAGTAGTGTGGGAGGGGAGAAAAGGTCATTTTTTAAGTTTGCAGTAATCTTATTGCATATTGAAAAAGACATGGTAGGTAAACTGATAATATAAAGGAAAGAGTTTACAGAGGATTGTAGGAAATTACAAAGAAGGAGAGGCTGTGGTCTGGAGACACTTAGCAGCTAGTGAAGTGTCTTTCATGGTGTGACATTTCTGCGAACAATGGGCAGCCCCAGACAGCAAAGGTACTGCGGAAATGGGATTTTTCTCATCTGTAGAGAGAAGGCTGAGAGCTTGCCACCTTTGGATGCTTTCTAAACACTTAACTTGTTTGCAAAATTAAAACCATATTTTGAGTCTTATCCCAGATTCTAACCATAAATATAAACCCAGCTGAAGAGCTAGGAGGCCGGGGGTGGGAGTGGGGTGGGGGGAGATGAGAATGGGCTTCCTGCAGGAGAGAAAACGGAAGCCACATGCTCCAGCAAGCGTTAGTGAGAGGTTGGCTCAGATTGGTGCCCTGGCCTTAGTTAACACCTCTTCCATAGTTGGTGGGAACATCTTCCCTATGTAGCCTTGTCTCCTTAGTCACTTTGATGCTTTTTGATCGGGATCCTGCCATACTGATCAGTGCTTCCTCAGCCTTATTTTTTTGTGGTTTACCTGACTTTCTACCCTCATCTCCTCATTTTGTCCTGCCCCCCTGACCCCCACCATACCACCCTCACCAGCATTGATGCCATTTTTCCTGGATATGAAAATTCTGTTACTTAATCATCTGATTAGCTGGGTGATTTCCTTTCAGTTGTATGTGTTGTGTATGTGTTCCATGTTATTTTGCTTAGAGTTTATTGGGCAAATTGTAATTCTGTTTCCCTGTGGATGCTTTTCCTAATGAACTATTGTGGGTACATTTACAGGGATGAATTCATTTAACCCGATGTCCTTGGGGAATGTACAGTTGCCACAAGCTCCCATGGGACCGCGCGCAGCATCCCCCATGAACCACTCTGTCCCAATGAACAGCATGGGCTCCGTTCCAGGGGTAAGTCCTGCTTGCCTTAACTGTGCTGAGAAGGCCTTGCCCAAATAAGGAAAATTCTCTAAGCAGTAAAATTGTAGATTGTCTAGAATCCTATGGTACCTGTTCCTTTGGATTTGGGTTATGCTTTATTTCTGTCATCTCTCTCTCTCTCTCTCTCTCTCTCTCTCTCTCTCTCTCTCTCTCTATTTCTTTCTCTCTCTTTCTTGTATTCATTACTGTAGTGAAAATTATTTGACCATTATTTTATTTGAATGCCAATTTCATAGGGAATTATGACTCTTTGAGAAGATGGAGTTCTGTAGATGGAATACACAGCCTCAGTTTTGTGGCCAAGAGGGACTTGTCAGTGTCTGTTGACTCCTAGAGCTTACTCTCCTGCGGCTGCTTTCTAAATGCTTCATAGAACTCAGAAAAACATATCTTGAACTTTAAATTATATGCAGCTATTGATTTCTATCTAGAGGACAATCTGAAGCCCACTCATTAGAGACTTTGCATGAGAAAGCTGGCAAAGTGCCTCGGAGCTGTACGGTCTTAATGGTGTTTCTTTTCCCAAGAGGGAGGGAGGATTTGAAGATTTCTGTCTCTTCTACTTTATCTTGAATACTTTCGTCCTCTGAATTCTCAATGATGCTTGTTGTCTTTTAGATGGCCATTTCTCCTTCCCGAATGCCTCAGCCTCCAAACATGATGAGTGCACATGCCAACAACATGATGGCCCAGGCGCCCACACAGAACCAGTTCCTGCCTCAGAACCAGTTCCCTTCATCCAGTGGGGCAATGAGTGTGAACAATGTAGGCATGGGGCAGCCAGCGGCCCAGACAGGCGTGTCACAGGTACCGTTTGCCTTTGGGCCACCTACATTGATACAGCCCCAGCTTCCTACTGACCTGAGTATGTCTTTTTTCGTGGAAATTAGAATTCTAGACTACACATTTGATTTTTATCTTTTAGCATCTCTTGATATTGTTCTTATTTTATCCTGTCATTTTTACCTTGTTTGGAATGACTCTTAACATCTTGGGGTGAAGAACTTCATGTAAAACTAGAGTGGGTTGTGGTTTTTTGGTTTGTGTGCTTTTGCATTTTGATTTTTGTTGTTGTTGTCTTTTCTTGGTTTTTACTTGTGTCTTTTAAATTCTAAGTTTCATATGCAAATCTGAGAGACACTGAATTTTAAAGAGCGAGTAAGGAAGGGTCTCATGAGTTCACTGCTAATGACTTTTGGTTTGTGTATTTTGTTACCTGTCCCTGAACTGTCCAACTGAAGTCAGGCTAACTGGATCAGTTGAGTAGTTATCCTTTTATTCAGTGTGTTTTTACTTATTCAGTCTAAAGCTGAAGAGAACTATTTTCCATTCATTTTACTGCCCTTTAAAAGATATATATTTTTTAATTAATTTCAGAGAGGAAGGAGAGAGGGAGAGAGAGCTAGAAACATCAGTGATGAGAGAGAATCACTGATTGGCTGCCTCTTGCGTGCCCCACCTGGGGATCGAGCCTGCAACCTGGGCATGTGCCCTGACCAGGAATCAAACAGTGACCTTCTGGTTCATAGGTCTATGCTTGACCACTGAGCCACTGCACCCAGGCATTTATTCTGTATTTTTTGTTTTATTCAGAAGCAGGCCTTGATTGCAGGCTCCTCCCTGTCCTGGGCCTTCACCAGGGCATGTACAGGAGGCAACCAATCGATGTGTTTCTCTCCATTTTACTGCCTTTTTAAAACCCTTTTGTTGTTATAGTATAGTAGTGTTGCTGTATGTATATGTACATGTATTTAAAATAGGCCAAACCTGCCCTGGCCTGTTTGGCTCAGTGGATAGAGTGTCGGCCTGAAGACTGAAGGGTGGGTCCCAGGTTCAATTCCAGTCAAGGGCGTGTACCTTGGTTGCAGGCACATACCCAGTAGGGAGTGTGCAGGAGGCAGCTGATCGATGTTTCTCTCTCAT